GGAGGCTTTGCTGGAGCTGCGGCCGCTGGGACCCTTTGCTCTCGGGGAAGGGCTCCGAACTTGCCACTCTCCTCTGCCCTAACGACCTCCCGCGCTTCCTCAAAGGTGGAGACGGACAAGGCGACGGTTGGCTTTGAGAGCGTGGACGATTGTTACTTAGCCAAGATCCTGGTGCCAGAAGGAACAAGGGATGTTCCCATTGGGGCCATAATATGTATCACAGTTGAAAAGTATGTATTTGGACAACAGTGAATTGAATTCCATTGAATTTTGTCTCTTGGGGTTGCCTCGGTGGTCTGAAAGGCTTAGAGACTGCGGTCTCTAAGGGCTAAGGACTGCTTTCATGGTGCTGTGTCCTCTTTTAGGCCTGAATACATTGATGCCTTTAAAAATTATACCCTGGATTCTGCAGCATCTGCTCCCCCTGCAGCCACAGTGCCTCCCCCTCCCGCTGCAGCGCCCTCACCACCATCTCAGCCTCCTCCTCAGCCTCCTGGCAGCTCTTACCCGCCTCATATGCAGGTAAGAGAGCACTGCTGATGAAGTCATGTTTGCTGGCTCCAGGGCCTCATGTCGTAAATGCTGCTCACAGTGGGAGGTTGCTAGCTCCAGCTGCAGGAGTGCAAGCCACTCGCATGGTTGCATGCTTAAATTTGCTGTCACTGGAGCTGTTTTCTGAAAGTTATTTTAGCTTCTCTGCTGCCAGTGGAGGAGAGACTTGTCTTTCTAGGATTCTTCTGCAGGCCAGAAAAAAATGATACATTTGTATGATTTGGACATTTCTGACAAAGACAGACCCCTGTGAAGTGTGAATAAGCTCTGACAGCCTTCAGGGCTGCGTCTCAGAGCAAGAGCGAGAGTGGTATTGCAACAAACGGCCAAACATGTTTGTGGGTGGCTAATAACAAATTGTATTTGTGGGTCATCTTTTCATTCACCTTAGATGTGGAAGCATACCCCTATTCCTACTGCATCCGAGTGCTTTGGAGTGGGTCCGTTTCTGCAATACTTCTTTGAAATAGGAAACTGCTCCTAATTTCATTTCGTAGATGACTTATATGGAAACTGGTTCATCCGATATGTTGTGGGAAATCAGTGAGTGAATAGAGAGTTAATTCAAAACTCCTTAATCTGTCTTGCTTTCTTAAACCTTGATAAAAGAAGCCGCACTAGAGATGTCCCTCAGCTTTACATGTGCTTCAGTGGAACACCATATAAGAGTGCAGCAAAGACCAGCAACTATTTTTCTTTGACGGTGCTTAGCTGGGAGTTAGAACTCTATTTCTGTTTCTTTATGGGTATCAAAGTCTGATTTCCTTGTGTTTGCCGCCTTCACAGATCACTCTCCCGGCACTTTCACCTACAATGACGATGGGCACAGTGCAGAGGTGGGAGAAGAAGGTTGGGGAGAAACTGAATGAAGGAGATTTACTGGCAGAAATTGAAACAGATAAAGCTACAATAGGTGAGTGAACTCCAGAGCAAAGGCAGGGCATTATGGCCGTAAAAGAGGAGGATCTAGAGTAGCTTTTATGCAAGCTGTTCTCCTCCAGCTACCCAGGACAGTGTGGTGGGCAATCAAAAATGGTTTAGTTACTTCTCTTTTCAGTGTAGAGCCTAAACGCTGGAGCTCCAGAAAACACTATTGTTTCCTCCTCTGTGGTTGCACACAGAAATGTCTGCCTGCCAGTTGCATGAAGAGGGATTCTCTTGCCTGCTGAAAAATGCCAGGGTTTAAGCTACCAAAGTCTTGAGAAGCATCATTTAGAGGAACTCTTTAGCTGCAGCAGGTACCAGAACAGTTTTGTTTCTTTCCCTTCCAGGTTTTGAAGTGCAGGAAGAAGGCTACTTGGCAAAAATCTTGGTGCCTGAAGGAACAAGGGACGTGCCACTTGGAACAGCACTCTGCATCATTGTGGAGAAAGAGTCTGATATTCCAGCCTTTGCTGACTACCGAGAGACAGGAGTAGTTGACATGAAGCCACAAGCTGCTGCTGCTCCTCTTCCTCCTCCGGTAAGGACCAACCCTTAGCAGGGGAGAGAAGTTATGAGGACCACTGAGAATTGCTGGTCTGATCTGAACAGTTCTGCTGGTTTGACCCTGTGAAGCCTTAGTGCCAGTAGTAACATTTATGATCTTGTGAGTGCCAGGCTAACGCATTCATTGGTGTTGTGTATCCCTTGTTAGGTCGTCCAGTTTGCCTTGCAAGAACTGGAGCAGATCATTTATGATCTCTTCTCCAGCCTTTTGCTCGAACCTATTCTCATGTCTTCTGCCTGCCAAATTAGGACAAATTACTTCTTTCCCCTGTAATCAGCCACTTTCTTGAGAAACTTCTTAATTGACTTTGGTAGTGGGAAACTTCTCTGAGTCTGAAAATCCATCCAGATCAATGACTCTTTGCTGTTACCCTGACTGATAATTAGATGGTCATGCTCTCTTACTGTACTGTAGCAATACTTTCAAGGCTTTTGCTGAAGCTCATGGTTTTAAATCTTATATTAAGGTGATGGCAACTCCTGCTGCTGCCACTCCTCCACAGCCTGCTGCCCCTCCTGCTCCAGCGGTCGCAGCAACTGTGCCACTTTCCCAGAAAGGAAGGATCCTAGTTAGTCCCCTGGCAAAGAAACTGGCAGCAGAAAAAGGAATTGACCTCGCTCAGGTGAAAGGTAAGTTGCCTTTTCCCTTCCATACTCTCAGTGTCAGGTATCTTTCCCCTGGCTGTATACTTACCTATTCTTTCCTTCCTGTCAGGAATATTTTCAGCTCTCCCTCACGCTTAGGGGCTGGATGAAATAGTTTACCTCTGTCAATGAAAACTTCTATCCTTATAAGCAATACCCAGTGGCAAGTAGTTGATACCCTCTTACCTTTTTTCTTTGATTACCTTAGGGACTGGACCAGATGGAAGAATCACGAAGAAAGATGTAGAGTCATTTGTACCACCAAAAGTTGCCCCAGTAAGTAGGCCTGACGTCTCGGGGAATGGCTATATTGTCACAGTGATGGAAAAGCTCTGTAAGCATGCAGCTATTATGAGCCAAGAGCCCATCGTTGTTCTTGTCGAAACTCTGTTCCTACATCATCCTCTGTCACAAAAAACAAGTTATGGAAGTGCTTTGTGTGCCATGGGAAGGCATGTGGCTGAGTGCAGTTTGAAAGTGCCCTGTAGCCAGCATCTCTGCTGAGTGCCTGAAACAAAATCATTTAGCAGGACTTAACAGTCCTGGAGCTCTCTGGCAGTGTGTATTAGTTTCATATTTCAAAATCCAGTGCTGCATTTAATAATCACATACTGAGTTTGTAAATGTCTGAGGAATCTAGTGGAGACTAGGGGAGGGGAGAGAGTAGAAGTACCTGCTGTGCACAAGCAGCAGAGAGCTTAGCCCCGGCCCTTGCTCTGCGTACTGACCCTCTCTGTCCTTGGATAGTGCAGTGAACTATGTGCTTTCTTTAACTGCAGGCCCCGGCGGTTGAGGCAGTACCTGCGGCCGCTGCAGTTGCAGCGGCGCCTGTGGGGACCTTCACAGATATCCCTGTCAGCAACATTCGGAGGGTGAGAAGATTGTCTCGCTTTGAGATCATTATTTGCAGCCTTGAGTTTTCTGACTCAATTTGCTATTTTAATTGCTTCCATTGCTTGCCTTCAGGTCATTGCTCAGCGGCTGATGCAGTCCAAACAAACAGTACCTCACTACTACCTGTCTATCGATGTAAACATGGGAGAAGTTCTGGTGCTAAGAAAAGAACTCAATCAGGTAAAGCAGCTGGGGAGTCATCGTGTGAGTGTGGTGGGACAAAAAGCTGGGTTCTCTCACGGGTTTCCCCACTCGGCTTTTTGGTTGCACACCCCTTTGGCATAGGAGAAAAATCATCTTTGCATTGCCATTCCACTGGAAATTGGGGGAAAGGAGAAAAGAGCACCTCTTTTTTTAAAGAGAGATACTAATTCTGAGCCGCGATTTTCTCCAAGTGGGGCTGCAGGGCAGTGACTAAATTGAGTGAGTTCCTGTGTGAGAGAGAAACTGATGCCTCAAATCTCTTTATTTACAGGTGGTCTCAGATAACATTAAGCTGTCTGTCAATGACTTCATAATTAAAGCTTCTGCTCTGGCATGCTTGAAGGTGCCCGAGGCTAATTCTTCATGGATGGACACAGTTATTAGGCAGTAAGTTTATGGTACGGTCGAAGCCAGAAACTTTCTTTGTTCAGTAGAGAGTTCATGGCATAATAGCAGACCTTTTGGTGGGAATTTGAGGTGGGAGGGCAACAGGTATAATGCAGAGGCTGAGGGGTTTTACTTAGGGGCTTTGTGTTTGAGGCCAATGTGCACAGTAAATAGTTATTGCAGGATGAATGATAACTTGAAATAGGCTGAATGCTTGTGAATCTTTTTTCATTGTATCTTGCTAGAATAGCTTGCATTGTGTCTTGCAGAAACCATGTAGTGGATGTGAGCGTTGCAGTGAGTACCCCTGCAGGGCTTATAACCCCTATAGTGTTTAACGCACATATAAAAGGTCTGGCTTCCATTAGCAAGGATGTTGTCTCTTTGGCAACCAAAGCCCGAGAAGGTAAACTTCAGCCACACGAATTCCAGGTGAGGGCCTTTGATTGCTCATAGTTACTGCTGCTCGTGACTTTCGTCCGTCTTCTAAACGAGCAGAGTGTGTTCTGTGATGTGCTTTGGCCACGTTGATTAATACGCCGCATAAAAGGGCTTCTGTGAATTTTTCTATTAATGTGCTTTTCTTGTAGGGCGGCACTTTCACAGTTTCCAATTTAGGAATGTATGGGATTAAGAATTTCTCTGCCATAATCAATCCACCTCAAGCCTGCATCCTTGCGGTTGGTTCCTCAGAGAAAAAGCTGGTGCCAGCAGATAATGAGAAAGGGTATGTTCATTCTGCATATACTTATCTTCTGGATTAAAACTTTGAAATAATGGCTGGTTTTCTAACCCTCCCACAGGGAGATTTTGTGTTTTAATGGCTATGTGACACTGTTCCAGTGAATGACAACTGATTTGCCATACAGTGATCCCCACAACTTCTTTGCCAGTAAACCAAGAGCTTTATTTTCCCTTTGAGGGGAGGGATAAGCGTGGAAAAGTGGTGGACTCGCAGTACTTGAGGCACTAGTCCCTCTTCAGTAACATGCTGAAATGTTCATCCTTAAGGAAAGCCTAGCTGGTGGTTAATGACTCTAGTGTCACGCGTGCAATGAATTTGTCTTCTCTTTCAGGTTTGACGTGGCCAGTGTGATGTCCGTTACGCTTAGCTGTGACCATCGTGTTGTGGATGGAGCAGTTGGAGCTCAGTGGCTTGTTGAGTTCAAGAATTTCCTTGAAAAGCCAGTAACGATGCTGCTATAATCAAACTATGTAAGCAAAATCTTCCTGGGTCACACTGTTTTGTTCTAAACAAGCTATTAGACTTTAGTGTTCAGACTTAAAGTTTCTTTTTTATTATTATTATTTTAAATATGTATTATATTATCTGGTAATCTTTTTACCAGTCTGTACAGGTAAAATAGTTTGCAAAAAGGCTTTTCAGCAATATGGAGCTGTACTGTATTTTCGTACAGTCAACCTGCAAACTTTCCCAAAACAGAGTTAAGCCCCCAGATTTAAAAATTAAACAAGCAGTACGCATACTTCAGCAGTCTCTAAATTAGAGTGAACACAGGGGTGCATACCAAGTAATTTCATGATCTCTACATTCTTAAATTTAAATGATAAATATCTCTTCGCAGGAGTTCAGATGAGCTGGTAAATGAAATCTGCAAGTTAGTGGAAGGTGAATTCTCTTGTTAGCATGTGCTCCTGCTGGGGTGGGCAAGAAGGACATGCACTAAGGGATGGAAGCCCTGGGGAATAGTTTCTCAAAGGCCAAGTGTTAGCGTTCCAAGCTTCTTTGGGAATTTGGCACTGGTTCTGACTTTCCCAGCGACGTGATCCCTCTTGAGCACTTTAACGTAAGGTGAAAGACCACTGACATCTCGCCACAGGGAACATGCTGTCTTATCGTGGACTTTCACTTACATGTGCTTTTATACAAAACCTTTTTTGCTTTTTTCTTTGCTAACTTAATATCAGAGTATGATGTCATGGAAATAGCTGTTTTGCAGAATGTTCAAGAGAATCTGTGTGTTACAACCCATGTAGGCAATCACACATGCTAATAATCCCATCAGTGGGAAATAATCATGTGATGACTTGAATGCTTGGAAAATTCTTTTTCAGGCATTCTTACATAGGAAGCTCTGAGTCAGTCACTGGTACCGCAGTCCTTTCATGAATTGTCTTATGTTGTCCCAGCCTCAGTAAACTGCAGAATGTGCTATCCATGTATATACTGTATGTAAAATGCTTGAATAGTTCATTGAACTTGTGTCCACTTACCCCAGTCACTGTATCCTGAAAGGGGTACAGCGGTGAACATTCTTAAATTCCACTTTCCAAATGGAAATATTAATGTAAAAAGGAGGATTGTGTAATAATTATGAAGTGGCCGGGAGCATTAAAGAGAGAAGTTCAAAAAAGTCTGACCTGTTATTCTGTATAGTGCATTAAGTACCGTCTCCTGTAAAGTTGTGATACAAAATTCGCTAAAGATGTTGAAAGAAAATACTGTGGAAATCAAATATTTCTTGTGGGGACTATTTAATGTCTGGTTGGAATGATACCTGGTTTTCATGTCTGGCTAAAGCAAAAAAAAAAAAAAAAAAGTTTTCTTTTTTAAATTATTTTAAAGGATCTAAAGTACCTTGGTTCCGGACTTGCTCTGGTGAACCCGTGTGTTCTATTAAATATTTGTGACTGACAAACTACTGAAATAGTTCCAGTGCTTTTCTCTTCTGTAATACGCATAGCATATTGTACTGCTGCAGCACAGGAGAGCTGTTTACCATTTGGAAGTGCAACTCACCCTATTAACCTTACGTCATAACCACAAATGTGTAAGAAATAACACTGGAGCCAAAGGCAGCGTGGGGAGCGCGACTGCTCTGCTCTAGCTCAACCTCCCAGCTGCGAGCACGAGGTCAGTGCCGCAACTTTCAAATCAAGCGAGCCTCAAGAGCGTCACGGAGTTCCTGCACGCACAAGACTGCTGCCGAGGAGTTAGTACTCTTTTGTAAGCTCCCATTTTCAAATTGCAGCACCTCAGGAAGAGACAGCTCTTTAGCACAGAGACAAAAAAATAAAAGAAAGGCCTT